GGGGGGAGGTGGCAGAGCTGAAGCCTTGCGCAGAAATAGGTCACGTTTCTGAAGAGGAAAAACATAAATTTCTGGATGATAGCCCGTAGCTGGGGGATCCAAAAACTCCATGAAGTGTGTGTTGGTCAGAGGGACGATCAAAGGTCAGAAGGAGGACCAGAGCTGCACGTGGGGCTGCCAGAAGCAGAGGGATGGATGTCGCTGCCCCTTTTTGTAGGAAGGTGTTTTCTTTCCCTCCAAGTGCACGTTGATTTTCTTGCTGTCGCCAGCTTGTGCCCTTTTCTCACTTTGATCTTTGGATCAAAGAGCAGAGGGGCATGGGAGGTGGTGGGGATGGGCAGAGGTGGGGGGCAAGTTGGTCACGGAATATTGGATTTCCCAACAAACAGCACAGAAAGGGGGGGGGTTGGAGAGGTAGGAGAAGGCAGCTTCTGAAGGCTCCAAAGGAGGATATGTCCAGTTCCTTCAGGAGTAATTCCCCCTCTGTTTTTTCTGCTGGATGACAGCGTCATGGAGAACATGGGTGGTGAGGAGGTGGTGATGCACTGAGCTGGGCTTCAGCAGGCATGCGTTGTTTCCAGGAGTTGAGCCCCAGGCAGGATCACTGCTCCCATTTCCAAACTTCTTGGAACTTTTCAGGTGGACCAGCTTTGTGATGATGGCTCGTAGAGTGAAACCAAGCTGGGTGGATGCAAAAAAAAAAAAAGAAAAGCAGGTTTTCTTCTTTATAAACATTGTTTGTTTTTTCATTGTCTCCGCTAAAGACAGCGCCTTTCCAAGCCTGACTGCGGGCGCAGAGCCAGGACATATCATGAATTACAATAATAATTTTCACTAGGAGGGTTGGCTCCCTCCAGATTGCACGGATCCCTCCCTGGTAAATAGCTTTAATACCCCACAGGCGCCAAATCACTTGACCTAGGTTAGCCCGTGAACTGGGATGCTTTCTGCTCGGCTGAGTGGTCCGGAGCCGAGATTTTTCCTCCCATTCTCTGCCTGTCAATCCAGGTAATAGTCAAAGCCTTATCTGAAATGCATTAGACTTTCAACGAATTGTCTGGGCTCCGGGCCCTGGGTGCTGAAGGCACTCGTGCGTGTGATGTGTACGAAGAGGCGAGACAGTAGCTTTTAACACCCCTTGCCTCATCTCTTTTCTTGGCTGGGGTTCAGCAAATTTCCGCAGTCTGCCAGCAAGAAGCTCGTGCCTCTGGGTTCAAGTATGTAGGCAGTGGTAACTGATCGGCGACGCGACGCTTCTCCGAAGCACTCAGCACCGAGTTTTGAGGCTGTTTTGCCTAATATAGGAATAGGTTATTTCAGAGCTGTGGATGGCTTGAAAAGCAGGGGGGAAGGAGATGTTATGGTAGGCTGAGAGTGAGGGGTTTTGGAGAGATGTTTGGGGTCTGAGGAAGTTGAGTTCGGAAATGTTCTCAGCTGGGGAGTGGATATGAGGCTTCATTCAAAAGTCAGACCACACTTCCCTTTCTTATACCAATGAGTGGCCACAGCTTGAACTTGGGCCCAGTGGTCAGTGCTGTACTTTTAAGAGTGTAACATTCAAGTTGAAAGCACAGATTTCCTTCCAGTGGTACCCAGTGAATGAGCATATTAACAGCTTTCCCTCATGACTCTCTGCAGTACCATATTAGTCCTACCCAAGAGGAAGGTATGACCAAAATATCTTGGCTTGCTCAGCCTGATGATGCTAAAACTTCAAGCGTTGCAGTTCACTTTGATGGGGTGCCTGTGGCCTGCATGGTCTTGGTCTGTGTCAGATGGATGGCAGGAGCTGGGAGGGACACACAGGCAGAACATTCATCATCTGTGTGCTTATGAGCACTGCAAAACTGCATTTCTTGACAGCTCTGAAAAATGCCAGTGGCTCTACAAAGGCAGCTGTCATGAAGACAAAGCGGGCAGGATGTGAACGTGCAGGAGGGTGGCATCCATGGGGGTCTGCAGATCAGTGTGGCACCTCTATGGAGGCCCACTTCTGTTGGAACTTTCCTTACTCTGCTTCCCCAAGGCTGCTTCTCAGCCCTCTTGTTTTCTCCAAAGGATGAGGATGCTCAGCAGCTCCCAGGGCTCCCACAGCTCTGTTCCCACCAGATCAATCCCAAAAGCACAAGCAGCAGCAGAGCGTGTTCCTCATCTCTTGCGGCAAGAGGATGACTCAACACTCGTGGCCTGTTGCTTCCTTGGCCTCTTTGCTGATGGGAGAGGAAACCAGTGATGAGGGTGGTATTTTGGCACCCTTGTGGAAGCTAGTTAATGGAAGGAGGCAGCCCTTGAACAAACAGGAGTGAATTCAAGAACCTCCCACTGCTCTGTGCTGGAGGGAGCAGACATCTGATTCTACTGAAGGCTCTGAGAAGCAAGGTCTGTCATTTTCTACATTTTTGCTCGATGTCTAGCAAAGTGGGCTGAGTATCATGCAAATAATGTTATTAGTGGGTCGACCCTGATGATTAGGAAGCCGTGATTCACAGATATGGAACAATTGTAGCTGGCGAAAGGGAATGAAATGGGGTGAAAGGAAAACACATCAGAATGTCAAAGCAGCAGGATCAGAGCCAGTTCAATATATGTGGTCGGGGCAGCAAATTCCTAATTTGCAATGGCATATAGAGGAACTTCATAGGAATTTCGAGGCTTGTCACTTGAATCTCATTTCAGTCTTCTGGAAAGTGCTGTAAAGAAGCTGTTGACATTGTTGTATTACCAAAGCAAAGAACTGAAGGACCACAGAGGAAGAGATGATTGCTTGCCTGCACCTTCTTCTACCTTGGCTTCCATCACGCAGCCAGAACCCATGGAGCCCTCGCAGACAAACTGCTGTGTGGGCAGCATGAAGACTTTCCTGGTGGTATTCCACAGGTATAAGCACCATCCTGGGTGGAGAGCCATTGAAATGGACCTGGTGTTTTAGTAACTAGGTACTTAGCTTGAACCTGAGATAAACGTAGCCCTGAGCCAGGCTGGAAAGGCACAGCTCAGGAGGGTTTGTGTGGTTGGAACTGCTCTGCAGCAGATGCCATGGGGTTGGGGACAAGATCCAGCTTGCTTTTCCCTTTTCCCCTTCCTCTGTTTTGTTTTGTGTTTGTTTGTTTTTTTTTCTCTTGGATTCTAATGATCCGCATTGGAGGTTATTAACCCCTCTGCTGTAATCCTGTTGGAATGTCTCTGCCTCCAGAGGTACTCACAGATGAGACCTGGGACAAATCACTGCTTTATTCAAGAGCTTGAGGTATCCAGTGATAAGAACTGCAGTGAGAAGGCTGCAGGGAGCTGTAGTGCTTCTGAGGCATGGCCAGGCTGGTTTGTAAGCAGGAGGTGATGACAGGCATGGTCAGTACTGCCCACAGGGTGGGCTTCTGCATATGTATCTTTAAGTTTAAGCCTTTTGCAGAAGGGTTATCAGGAAGGGAAACAGAGAGACCCAAAGTTATGATGGGAGAACCCACATCCTTGATGTGAGCCGAAGATCTGCTGCCAGAAAACCTTTCTTGCACTAAAGGATCTGGAGTGCCATGTGTGAGCTCTGCAGCAGGTTTACTTAATGCTTTCACAGCTGCCTTGGCAGTGGTGGGGTGATCAGAGGAAAGTGAGGGCAGAATAGTGCTTTAGCACATGACTAACCTGTCTTTCCTCCAGTTTTTTACCCTTGTTCCCCACATCAAACACTCCCTCATCCTCCTGAAAAGAGCAGATGAGCAGTCTGCAGACACTGAATAAGCAGAGGTGTTGGTTCTGACTTTTGAAAGGAGAAACCTTTGTGGTAATGTTGCTTGGAGAGCTGCTGTGCGAGGCTGGCCAGCCTTTAAGGTTGGGGAAAGAGGGAGAAAACAGGAAGGTTGGAGTTTCACAATGTCTGTGCTGAAAGAAACGAGAGTCCAGGTCAGCAAGTCCAAGCCCTTGACTGGAAATGCAGAAGCAGGGCTAATTTATGGTTTGCTAGATAATCCTTATGGAATTCCAGGAGTGAGAAGCCATTCACTGACCCCTTCAGAGACAACTTCTGATCCTCAAGCTTGGCCAGGAAGGAAGTCGGAGCCCTTCAGCTGACAGTGATCTTGCATGGGGGCTGAGGCTGAGCTCCAGACCACAACCACATCCTGCATGTCCAGCCTGGGCAGGAACCATCATGTGCTCGCCCCACAGGCTGTGCTGGCAGCTGGTGCAGCCTCACCTGGGCTGGGAGCAGACACACGGTGGCATGGGGATGGTGAAACCTTGCACATGGTAGAGATGCTCATTAGATGCTTGCCCTCTTAGTGCTGGTTCTGCCTGGAAAATCTTAACATCTAGTGCTGTAGACGCTCAGCTCAGTGCTTAAGATTTGCTTCGTTTTCTGCTGGGATGCTTTTCTGGCCCATTGTTTGAGTGGGTAGGGTGAGGGGAAGCATGGAGCTGTGTCCTCCATTGATTTGGTTGCCTTGGTTCCCAGGAGGTGTTGGAAAATGCTGAGAGCTGTTCTTGTCAGCCTTGAACTGGAGGGAAGGGCAGGGTATGGAGCGCTTCCAGCAGCTCCAGAACTGCAGCTGAAGGGCTCAGAAATCTCACCCATCAGTCTGATATATTTATAGAAGGATACAATCTTGTTTAAGATGAGAGGAATTCTTTATGACTATGTCCTGGACCCTCTTAAATCCTTTAGGGTGGACTCTCTGCTTCCTTTTCCTCTGTCCTCTTTACATTTGAGCAAAGTGGTGCTGTTGCAACATCCAGTTTTGGATTATTATTCAATGGAGGTAGATGTGTTACAAAAAAAACCAAACAGATGTTCACAGGGAATGTCGATTCTGACTCCATTCTTCTGCTCTACAGCAAAAATGCATTTGGGGCCCTGACTACTGGGGTGCAAGGCTGGGTTCTGCCCTCGCTCGACTGGAGCCATCTTCCTTCTGACTTCCATGCACGCTGCATATTTGGGTGCATTTAGGACAATTCTAGTATCTAGAGGTTGGGGAGCAAAACACTCTCTTTTTTTTTTTCCACAGCCCCTTCTTCCTTTGGAATCCTGCTGCTGCCCCTTGCTGCAAGACAGGGAGACCTCAAAGGCATGGGTGAGAGCGCAGCTCTTGCTCAGACTGCAAATCTTCCAAAGGATTAGGGTTTTACTTCAAATAGAGGAATGTAAATGTGTCTGGCTCCATAGTGGCTGGAAATTTCTCGCCGGAGCCAATGTTGGGCCATACTTGGCGGTGACAAGACGTTTGTTTGCCCACCCTGGTTGGACTACAGCTCTCGGGCTGGAAAATGTTAAAATGGGCTGTGCGTGCTTTTAGTGTCATAAAGTGGAGCTGGGAGGGGGAGGGCTTAGCGGGAGGAGCTGGATGTAGGTGGTTATTCTGCAGTGCAGTTGTGTGCATTAGGATGGCAAGCTGGGGAAGGAGCTGGGTTGGTTTAGTCTGACTGCAGGGCTGCGAGCTTGAGCTCATCTGTTTTCCCCCTCTTTTTGTCTTTATCACTGTTTCCTGGTGTTTTGTTGACTTGCAGATTCATGAAGGTATTTGGGAGTCTAAATCCCACCGAGGCCAGTGGGGATTTGGCATTTAAATGCCCTTGTGGTTTCGCTGTGTTAGCACAGTGCTCTTGGGAAGGAAGGGAAGTGGTATGGAGGACCCTGAGTGTCCTAGATCATAATGGAGGAGGCCAAACCTGCCAAGGAGGATTTGGATTCTCTGAATGTCCTCCAGTGTCTCTACTGGGTGTGATTGCTGCTACTCTCCCACAAGCGGACGCTAAGATCACAGCTCTGTGCGAAAGCAGTTGGTTCATTTATGTGCTTACCTGCAGCACAAGTCTGCAATAGAAATACTGACCTTGTCTGCAGGGACCTGAGGGCAGAGATGCACAGCATGCTTGGATTTCTTGATGCCAGCAATAACCAGAAACCTTTTTTATCCAAAGCTGCTTTCTGAAATCTAATGTTATATCAAAGTTGTGGCAGTTGTGAAACAAGCAGGGCTTTGGCTCAAAGCAGTAGAATTGAAAAAAGGGCATGAGATAAACAGGCCTGGAATTAATGCTTAGAGAAAGTAATAGTAGGGCTTCCAAGCGTGGAATGTCTCTGATGTTTTGAAGGCTAATAAAATATTGACAGAACGAGTCTGCTCAGTGATGGGATCCAGCCTTCCCTCTGCTGTGAGAGCAGGGCACCATGGCATATACAGAGGACTGGGAGCAAATGGTGCAGGTCCTACATCCAGCTCTGAGCACCTGGCTGACTTCAGGCGTGCTGCTTTGCTTTTCTTCCTGTTGAGGACTCCCGAGTACAATGGGAAGAATAACAGTGCCTTCTTCAAACTGTGACTCAGTCTGTAGTGTAGATGAAATGCTTTGATCTCCAAGGACTCGTTGCTCGTGGTAGGTGATGGGAAGCCTGAGAGGGCCAAGGGATATTTGCCTTTGATCAGCAGAGTTTGTGTTATCCCATTTTGGCAAGTTTTTCCTTGGACCTAGACATATCTTTTAGCTCAGTTGGAAGTAAGATGTTACGTGTCCCCATGGCTTCCAGATTCAAGTTATCAATGGTAATTTACAGCCCTGAGAGCTTTTGTGTTCCATCATCCACTGCAATGGGAGATGCAAGTAACCATGCCAATTCCTTAAAGCATCCTCTGTGATGGATGGACTTATCAGAAATACCTGTATGCAGGGAGATATGAAAATTAAAATACCAGACTACGGGAGACAAATGCACTGAGCTGAGTGGATGAGATGGATTTGAGGTGCTGAAGGAAACTGGGAAGTGATCCGTTAAGGTCTTAAGGAGGGATGGATCTATGGTCAAGTTAGCTAAATAAGTCCTTTATCTTTAATGAGACTTGGAGCAGACCTTCCAAAGAGCTGGTGCTCAACAAGACTGTAGATGCTGACAGACAGCTGGCTGTTTTTTTTCCCCTCTGCCTCCTTAAAGCTGTTTGAAGAGGTGGAATAATATTCCATAGAACAAGATCTATCTTGTTTTATGGTGCTGACAGGTGCTCATCTCTGTGAAGCTCAGTTTCAGTGAGTATGCAGTTGGTGTCAGGTCTTCTTGAACATGCCTACTGTCCCATTCTCTTCCCAGAACCATTCCCCTAACTCTCAGCAAACACCAAAGCACCTTTCACTCCTGACCCTCGCTGTCCTTCCCCAAGAAATACCCTCAGCCAGGGGTTTTGACAGGATCAGTGCTTTAGCCCTCAATGGCAGTTTGTATTTACATAAGTGGAACACTAATATTTACTTAAGATTATACTTTATTTTTCATGACTGAAGGGAAGATTATGCTGCGTGCTTTTTACATTTCAGAGGTGGGGAGGCAGGAATGGTCCCACGGCTTGCATAGAGAGGACCAGAGGCTGTTCTGCTCTGCATTAAATATGAAAATTAGAGCAGATGGCTGATTGGGACCAGAAACAAAGCAGTCCAGAAGCAGTGGAAACGCATGCTGATGTCTCAGGCAAAACAGCACAAATGAGCTAAACAGGGCAGCATGCAGCTATGGAGAACCTGTGCAAGCCTGCTGCTTGTGGTGGTATCTGAGCATTTATATTTGATAACAGCATTTATTATCTATTGACATAGTGATGATGCATTGTAGTAACGCAGCAAAACAAGCTGGAGCTCAGGACCTTGTGCCTCATAGCGCCTGGGTCTTGTTTCTTTGCCTCTGCTTGCCTTGAGCTTGGGCATCGTGCACAGAGGGCAGCAGGAGACCGGTCCCTGCTTGCAAATCAAAGCAATATGCTTCTCCCAGGCCTGTGGTAAAGGAAGAGCTGGCTTTTAGGCAGGGCTGGCCCTTGTACACGCACCAACCCCATAGGCCTGACCCGTTGGTGTGCCCCAGCCTTGGATGCGGGTGTTGAACTGCAGGCTCAAACTGCCAGCACAAGGAAATGCATTGGCAGCAAGAGAAAAGAGAGGCTGGGCTCTCTGAAGAGCGAGGCTGCCATGCTGTGCCATGTGCAGGATTCTCCATCCCAACCAGGTTGATAAGCAGCAAGAAAACGGCTGGGAAGAGGCAAGGAGTGGGGAAGCCCAGGCTGCTGTGTTCCTCTGGAGACCACACACACGCTGTATTTACGAAGCAAAGAAAGAAAAACGAAGTTGTCTCTCTTTCTTTTTAAAAAAAAAAAAAAAAGAAAATACCTGAATAACAGAACTGTGTGGTCTGGCAGCTCCTCTCTACCCTTCGCTTAACTGACTGGAGAAACAAACACAACCTCCTCCAATTTTTATCGCTTTGCTCGTGTTTCTCTCCTGTTTAAGCTCTTGAGAGAAATCCTTGGAGGAAGGGCTCAAAAGAAGCAGTGCTTTGTGACTGGAGGACCGAGTCGTTGGCAGTGTGTGGCCTAAATGGGTTCCTCCAAGGGTGGATTGGGTTTCTCCAGTGTCTTTCCCCTGCCTGGGGCTTCAGTTTGCAGCTATAGGTGCTTGTGGCTGCAGAAAGCAAGCTTCATTCTGGAAGGATGTTTCATAGAATCATGGAATGGCCTGAGTTGAAAAGGACCTCAAAAATCATCTAGTTTCAACCCCCCTGCTGTAGGCAGGGTTGCCAACCAGCAGACCAGGCTTCCTGGAAATACAGTGTGGTTTTTAGAAGGTGTAGAGTCTTAGGGCACCCCCCAGCCTCTGTCACTGTTTGTGGTACGAATCAGCCTCAGGCACAGCAGTGAAAGCTGCCTCTTCTTCCTTAGTTTGGTGAGAAACAAAAGGTTCCAGGCTTTATGGTGGTTTTGGTCTTGCATCCTTTGCCTCCAGGGAGTTGGTTTCCCCAGCTCCCAGAATGGCATTGGGTACTTGGACCATTCATAGAGTCTTAGGGGTGCCCTAAGACTCTATCAGAGCTCTGGAGGAATGGTCATCAATGCTTTATTGGCCTTGTTCAGATTTTGCAAGAGTGGTTTTAATTAACTCTGCTCGGCTATTGAGCACCTGTCCAAAGCTCGTCTGGATGTGGAAAAGTGAGTTGGATAATTTGGGAAGGTCTGTAGTGTGCCAGCCAAGTCTCTGTTCACAAAACGAGCTCCTTGGGCCAGCACTGGCACTCCTATAAAGGAAAGCTGGTCCCTTTGAGGTTCAGGTCTATCTGCTTTTATCGTTCTGCAGACTCTTGGGTCCAGCTCCCTGGCATTCGCTTACAGCTGCTTGATACTTCCCCAGCCACGTATCTGAACTCAAGAGAAGGGCAGTTCCTTTCTCAGAACATCTGCAGAGGAATGAGTGTGGCTGCAGTGTGTTTTGAGCTTTGATTTTATTTATTTTTTTTATTTTTTGAGAAGCTCCCCAAAATCTAGAGGCTTCTTTTGACTTGAGCTGTATGTGTCTGTAAGCTTGCTGATATTATTTGAGAAAATCATCAATTTATGTTTGGTTGGAAAAACTGAGGAATTTAATAACCAGTTAGTGAACATTTACTTCTCTTTTGCTTCTTTACTCGCCTTCCTGATCAGCTTGTGAGAGGCAGAGTTGGGAACTTGGATGCTTCAGACCCACTCTCTTGTGCTTCAGAGAATATATTCTTATCTTGTATTACAATTCCTTGTGTCCGTTGAGCCAGATAGCAACACTGAGATGAAAAACTTGCTTGGGATGTCAGACCCCATTGGGGTGACATGAGAAGAAGACAGAAAGCGAGTTGATTCTTTGGAAACTGCCTGAGGCCAGCAGCAATTCCCAGCAAAACAAGATTAAGAGAGCAGAGAGATAGTGTCGTATTTGGCCCATGGCTCTCAATTCCTAGAGTGCTGAAGTCAAACTGCCAGAAATCTGATAGTCTGGAATGTGCAGAAAAATAAATATAGGTATTTCTTTTGTCTGGGGGTTACTAGGCAGGTTGACAGGCCTACAACCAGCTCAGTGCTTTGGGTGCATTCAGGCTGCGATTGCCACTCCTCTGAAATTGACTTTGTGGCTCATCCAGGATGGATGAGTGATGCAGCTTGTGCCAGGCAGGGCGCAGTGCAGAGAATCCTCTACGATCCTCTCTGTGACAAAATCACAGCAGAGTCAAGGAGTGATTGAGCTCCTGTTTGGTGGAAAGAATTGTCAGGGTTTTGGTTTCTTTTTTTATGCTGTTTTGCAGTTCCTTGTAATCAGTGCTCTGAACCCAGTGATCTTCACAAGTCTTAGCAAGTGCTTATTTCTGAAGAGTGCAAATTCCAGAAATAAGTTGGTTTATGAAACAGAGCGACTCGGCTCTGCTTTGGAAGCCTTTGATTTGGTTTACATTCAAAGATCCAAAGTATAGAAAAATGTCACACACTCCTAAAGCTCTATTCACAGCACAGAAAAGCTCAGTGCAAGGGGAAAGTGTTTCTTTGTGATGCAATTACTGGAAACGTTGGCCACGGCTGATAGTTGGCCCCTTGTGTTGGGCACAGCAAGCTTGCTCATATGCATGGGTTCAGGTACATGCCCAGGTATGTTGTAGGCTCAGATCTCATGGTCTTGCAGGGCAGAGCCCTCAAGAAGGGTACAGAAGGGTTAATTGTCTGAGGAATTTCAGTGGTGTATGCATAATTA